CTTGTTAAAAATGGATGGTGTTTAGATTATATTAGATTAAAATAGTTATAAATCAATTAAGGAAAGTTTATTATTAAAATAGTATTTCTCTAAATTAAAATTCAATTAAATTTAAATTGTTTATTGAATGGATGATACATCCCACATGAATTTTCTTTTTCCCAAACTTTATTGCTTTTCCTATTAAAGTCACAAAAGTATAAAATTCTGATGATATTATTAAAGATAATAATTAAAATATTAGCAAAACCCTTTTCACCAAGGCAAGATATGATGAAAGCCTCCTCCTCCACACTAGGCTCCAACTCTCATGCTCACTTGAATCCAATTTCAAACATCCAATTATATTTTTCTTGGTTGTCCACTCAATAAATCCTTGCTACTTTTATTCTTAAAGAAGTGTTATATGTACAAAGACTTTTTGTAAGAGTCTTTGTATAAAGTAATGTGATAACTATCATACCACTAGTTTGTGAAAAGAAAAATAAGATTAATGTGAAACTAGTGGTGTGACAGCTGTCGCATCACTTTGTAGCATTTCTTTTATTCTTATCTATTTAGATTTATATTATATTATATGTTTAAATAACATAAATACTTTGTATAGGCTTGAAACCTACGCAGACTCAATCGGTCCAAACCAAATAAATTATCAATTATCATAATTAATGGTATTAACAATAATTAATAATAAACAAATATTGTCATTCTCAAATATAGTATTATTAATGCTATCATTATCATCTAAAACATATATACAGGTTCATATATATAAAGATGTAACATTATCAATTTTTATAATATCTCATATCTCATTCTTAAAATCATATATATTTAATAAAGTGTTAGTTTTAAATTATCATAAGAAAAAACAAAAACCTCAGAGATCCTTTAAAATAAAATTTTATTTTACAAAAGCCCACAATATTCTTTTAAGTTAGCTATTGATTGAAGGTTTTAATTTACTATTGACTTTAGCGGTGTGATTAACATTATTTTGACTATAACTATTTAATTCATAAGTAATAAAAATATAATTACTCGTGGGATAAATTAGAATATAGAAAATTAATTTTCATATTCTTTATTTGCCACAAATTCAAATAATTTATAACTACTACACACATATTAGCTATATATTTAAACTATTAGCTAATAATAATATTATAATATTGATACTACTATGAAAATAAAATTTGTATAACTAAATACCTTAATTAGCTACAAATTTCAATATTTTATAGCTAATGCACAAATAATAGCTATATAGTTAAGCTCATAGCTATTAATGATACTATATGTCTTATACATAAAATGTTTAAAGCTAAATACCTTAATTAGCTACAAATTTCAATATTTTATAGCTAATGCACAAATAATAGCTAAAAGTTCCAGTGACTACCTCTATTAACAACCGAGAAGGGATTCAAACTCAATATCTCTTAAGTACTATACCTAAGAGTCCTTACAGCATCTCCAATGTTGATTTTTATTTTGAAGAGTATCTTTTATATAAATAAAGAGCATTTTCATTAATTTTTAAATATAAATAACACAATTTTTATTCAAATCCAATAGACTCTTTAAATTTAATGAAGATGCTCTTTATTTTAAAAAAAGAGACTTAACGAGAAAAAGAATTAATAAATAAAATGCATAGGAACTTGTAGTTTATTAATTAAAATTAGGATAGAGAGTGAAATTTGACTCTCTAAATGTGGAGAGCCAAACTCACTCTCTAATTTATATTTTAAAAATAAAGAGTATGTTAGACTCTTGTTTTTATGGATAGACTCTTTATAATAAATGGTTTAGATCATCTCCAATGATGCTCTTTATTTTGAAGAGCATATTTTATATAAATAAAGAGCATCTTCGTTAATTTTTAAATATAAAGAACACAATTTTTATTCAAATCCAACAGACTCTTTAAATTTAATGAAGATGCTCTTTATTTTTAAAAAAGAGACTTAATAAAAAAGGAATTAATAAATAAAATACATAGAAATTTGTAGTTTATTAATTAAAATTAAGATAGAAAGTGAAATTTGACTCTAAATGTGGAGAGTCAAACTCATTCTCTAATTTATGTTTTAAAGATAAAAAGTATGTTGGATTCTTGTTTTTATAAATAAACTCTTTATAATAGAGAGTTTGGATTATATAAAAAGTCTTTTGAAGATACTTTTATTGAACCACTCAATTATCTAAAGGTAATTAAACCATTACTAATATTGTAGGTAAATATCTCTGCCCTAGCTCCATTAAAGTTTTATCTGAATTTTCCCTGTTAATTAATTTGCATAGTTCACCGTCTTTCAGTCCTCGACGGAAATGCTCTCCTCATTTAAACATCAACCTAGTCAAATATTGATGCACGCTTCCAAGGTGGCTGTAAAAGGAAATTACATATTAAGTAATGTTTCGTGATGCTTTAATTCTTCGGAACATTAAATATGGGTATGCACTCTTGATTAATTAGTAGTATATTTATGATATTCAACTGTAAAAATATATATATATATATATATATATATAGAGAGAGAGAGAGAGAGAGAGAGAGAGAGAGAGAGAGAGAGAGAGAGGAGATGAAGAGTATATACCTTGAAGGAGACCCAATATTATCCATCAACTTATTGCCAGAAACTTATATCGATCCCACTAATGGATTGTTTTTCTACCTTGGATATATGTAATCTTTGCTGGTGATGGTTCGCCCATTTGCTCATAAAGGTTATGTTAAGCCGAAGCAGTCACAGGGCAACTCTCCTTTGGCAAATCAATGGGAGGCAGAATAAATGCAATTGGCTAAACTAGAGCCACAATTTGCACCAATAATCACCATTGCCTGCCAAGTTAGAGGTGCCCTCAGACTGGTTTGCTTATCAAGACGGGTTCCTTACTTGCTTATACTGCTTTCTGCAGAATTTGAGTTTTTCTTGAGCTTCATGTTTCGCCTCTGGACGGGCTTTATAAGCACGTTGATCGGGCTGGGGCAGCTGCGCTGGCAGCAGAAGAGAATAAACCAATAAAGAAATGGCATATGCTTGAGGGTTATATGCCAGGGATATCCTTAGAAGCTGCTTTTTTTAGGGGCTGCCTTTTGTTCTTTATCTTCTCCATACCTAAATGCTGAAAAATCATTCCAGGCATTGAAGATTCTCTCACTTTAGAGGGTGAGAAAGCAGCTGAGAGGAGATGCCTCTTCGTAATTTCAAAGTGGCAGGCTGGCAGCCTTATATGGAGCTGTAACATTATGAATTAATATTAATTGACGGTTAGGATTGTATTACGTTATTTGATGTATAAATTTAGTGTGTATTCTTCGATATTGCTCTATATATATTAACATATTTTCAAGTCATATCTCTAATCTCATATTCCTTCCTTTTTTTTTTTTTTTTGTATTTTTTTGTATTTTTTATGTAATTGTTTTCCTTTAACTTGATTTGACTTTAATGTGATACTTTTCTGATTTTTATGTACAGAAAATCTCACTTCTAGGATAAACAACCATAAGTAATATTATAGTTTTCTTTATGTATTTGATACAATCTTAACTATATATAAAAACCTCCCTTTCTTTCACAGAATTCTCTTCGGATGGTTTTCATCTTAATAATTATTTTTAGCTTTCAAAGTTCATACTTGTTTGGAGAGAATAAGGTATTCATCAATTTGGAACCAAAAGTTTCGTTACAACTTAATCCAAATTTAATGTTATTACTGGTTTGTATAGGTTTCAGTTGGACTATCACTTTCAAACAAAATTCAAATGGATTAATGATGAATTTTATGTAAGTAAAGTCATTAATCTAATACAATTACACTGACCTAATTTATAGATGCAGTTTAATTTGTTAAAATCAGTGAAACCCAACTAATAAATTCATTTGCTTTAACAAAACCCAAATTGCGAGAAGAGAGGATCTATTTGTAAACACTAGACTAAAGAAGCCGTATTTTATCTAGTTTAACTACATCTGGGTGGCCGAGTGGTTCGATAGGGACTCTTGACTGTATTACTGAAGAGGTCATGAGTTCGAGTTTCTTCTCGGTTGCTAATAGGGGTAGCCATTGGAGTTCTTACCCGATCGGTAGTTATAGCGTCCTGAAGGATTAGTAGAGATACGCGTAAGCTAACCCAAACACCGTTGGTCCTAAAAAAGAAAAAACCATACTCTTAGCTATAAACTTAAGAGGTCATGTGTTCGAGTTTATTCTCGGTTGCTAATAGGGGTAGTCATTTGAGCTCTTATCCGATCAGTAGTTATAACGTTCCAGAGGATTAGTAGAGATACGCGTAAGCTAACACAAACACCCTTGGTCCTAAAAAAGAAAAAAAGCCATACTTTTTAATAAATTCTACAATTACACATTCATTCTTATATTAAATTGTTAAAATTAATCTTAATTTCTTATTCTTTACAAATACTTTTGACACCCACTTTTTTTTATTAAATTCAAATTATTTTTAAGACAAGAAGATAGTTCAAAAGAGGAAGAAGATTTACAATGAGATATATCAGGTTACAAGCAATACAAAATTAATACTTTTTAATTGCTTTTCATATAAATATATTGTTATTTTTCTTCTAACTATTGCTAACTATTTTAATTTATATATTTTCTTTGTGTTGTTTAATTGTATTATGTTTTTGAAATTATTTGTAAGGATTTTCTCTAGTTTTGATTTTTTTGAACTTCCAATTTAATTATCAAAATTATTATTGGAATATCAATGATGGAGGAATATAGCATAAGTCGAGGGAATAAAATATTAACCATTTTAAAATATATATAAAAAAAATGAAATGAAATGAATAACATTATGAAATTTATGGGACGCCACTGTATCTTTAGGCCCAAGATAGAGTAAGGAGCACTTGGGCTTTAATTAGTGTCCCTAAAGCCCAAACTAATGAGGACATGTTTGTCAATTAAGGAAATGAAAAGGGGTAAACAGAAGATTCAAGAGTCAAACGATATAAAAAGTTATAAACCCTAAATATAACATCCAACCATAAGGAAGCTAGGGTTTGCAGCTGCGGCTCGTAAGCAGAGGTATAATACACAACAGAGAGCTTCAGTTTCACCTCCGTTGCCGTCACCATGGGTCGTATGCACAGTCGCGGGTATGCCTCTCACTCTCTATCTCTCTGTGTTTGTGTGTAAATGTGTGCGTTTGTTGATCTTTACACTTGTTGTGTGTTGTTTGGTTGTAGTAAGGGTATTTCATCCTCAGCTTTGCCTTACAAGAGAACTCCACCGAGTTGGCTGAAGATTTCTGGCCAAGATGTGAGTCAAATAATCCTTATACTCTTTTAGCTGATTTTTTTTCGGAAGAAAATTAAAAAAGAAAATGATGTGATTTTGTTTGTTAGGTTGAGGATAACATTTGCAAGTTTGCAAAGAAGGGTCTGACTCCTTCTCAGATCGGTGTTATTCTTCGGGACTCTCACGGTATTGCTCAGGTCAAGAGCGTTACTGGAAGCAAGATTTTGCGTATCCTTAAGGCTCATGGTAAGTAAAAAGTCCCTTGAATGGTGATTATTACTATTGGTTATAGTCATGCTTATATTGAGTTAAGTTGTGATGAGGTAGTTGAAGATTGGGGGACTAGTTTTTTTGGGCTCACATTTAATGATTCAAATGACATCTTAATTGAGCTAGCAACCCCTATATTTGGGATAGCTTTTCTTTTTTCTTTTTTAAAGAAAATGTTTAGGTTTAATGGCTTGCGATATTGATTAATGATGTTTGATAGTATGTTTTTTATTCTTCTTAGTTTGCGCTTTTTTTAAATAATTTGATACTTGTATAAATTCTCGTGTGTTTGTGACTATTTTTTTATTGATTGTACTGTTGATCTTTGTTTTTGTAGGACTTGCCCCTGAAATTCCTGAGGATCTGTACCACCTTATCAAGAAGGCTGTTGCAATTCGGAAGCATTTGGAGAGGAACAGAAAGGACAAGGATTCCAAGTTCCGTTTGATTCTTGTTGAAAGCAGGATCCACAGGCTTGCTCGTTACTACAAGAAAACAAAGAAGCTTCCTCCTGTCTGGAAATAGTAAGCCTTCACCACTGTTGCACATTTTTAATTTATGTGAAATAATATGGTTTGGAAGCATGTGATTTTTTTTATTTGTTCTATTAGTGTTAGTTTTCTTTTTGTATTTGCTTGTGTGAGTATAAATCTGTAACTGCTTTAGAAAATTATAGAAATTGATAGTTTCAACAATGTTACTTTGGAATAAGTTTTCTGTTCTCAAATTTGATTAAGATTTAGTTCTTGTTGTTCCTTAGAAAAATTTAGGCAGGCATGATGGGTTTGCGACTGTGAATCATGTTAAATGGTGTGAATATTTCTTTTGGTGTGCATTAGAGTATGTTAGAAGGTGTAGTGCTAGCTTTGGGAACTTGTTTTTGTTGCTGTTAGACCTTAAATAATGTAATCATGTAACCTTTTAGTTGATAGACTGAATCATGTAATCAAGTAAGCAAGGGGGTTTAAAAATTGAAATTTGAAAGATTGATATGGGAAGGTAGAAACTTTAACAGAAAATGTAATAATGTTTTTTCTTTTCCTTGTATTATTGAGTTAAACTGTGACATGGATTTTTTTAGAATTTTTTTACTATCCAGTCTTAACTAGGTGTTGGTTCATCCAGTATTTTTTTACTATCCAGTCTTAACTACTTAATAGTTTCCCTTAAAAAGTTGAAATTGTTTCATACGAATTCAGTTGGTTGCTCACATCAATGCATTGGTACTCTAATTTTGGTAGTGGTGGCAGTAATTGTATTCAGCAGTAGCTAATACTTTTAGTTTTCCGGAATTATCAGGCTCTCTCTTGATCTATCTTTCACTCTCAATAAATAATGTTGTATTGCATTGCTCATTGTTTGTTTTTAAAATCTATTATTTTGTTGTTAATTCCACTTCCTTTTTGCAGCGAGTCCACCACCGCCAGCACCCTTGTGGCTTAAGCTAGGTTTTGCATCTTGGGGTGGCAGCAATACTCTTTATGAGCAAGAATGATGTTTTCATTGTCTAGTATATTCCAGATGTAAGACCTTTATTCATAGATTTTAAAAGATTTTGTTTTGTTTTGTTTGGGAGAACTTGGAAGAGAAATTTAGAACTTGTTCTGTTGCTGAATGTTTGCTTCTTTTTTGAGCATTTGTGTTTTGGATTAACCTTTTGGGCAAAAGATCCTTTTATTGTTTCCTCATTATTAATCACCATTCATAGATTGGATTAAAAAAGAAAGTTAACAATCCTAGGATCAATGGGATTATGTCTGCAATGTCCGAAATTCATACGCATTTGAGCCCTTTGGGGGTTGAGTAGCAGATTAACAGTCACATGAAAGTTTAAAAAATCTTCAAAAAACCCAGCCATCACCGGTGGCTATATCGCTGGCTAGAATCAGGGCTTGGCCTGGTTAGATTGGTGGCAGGCCGGCAGCTAGTCAGCAATCTAGCCACTCCACACTTCACAATTAAATTCTCAGCCGTTAATTCAACAATCTCACACCTGAAACCACCATGGCCACAACCCATGTCAAAATCTCCCCCACTAAAACAGTCACAAATCGAGCAGTCTACATTACCGAAAATAACGCCATTAACCCGAACCTCTTCATCATAATTTCAAGACAGACAGAGAAGTTGGAGGAGCCAAGATGCACATGCTTTATAAATCATGAAGCTGGAAGCGAAGCCAAGGGAAAGCATTTGAACAAGAGACAAACTTTCTTGATTTTTAAGAATTCATAAAAATGATTATTGGGCTCCTTTTTAAGAATTCAAAACTTGTGTTTTTAATATCATTTTATAATAATTTTGTACCTAAATCGATAATATTCCTAGATAAAACTGTGAACTTAAATTAAATTATGATATTCGAATTTAACATGATTATATATAATTACAACCAATATGACTTTTCTTCTAAAAAATAAATTACCAAAAACATAAAAATAAAAAAATTAAGTATATATTAATTAAAGCTCTGAATTTCGCGAAACATCTCTAAAGTGTACGTTAATTTTAAGTAGCAGAAGTTTCGACTTGAGGTGGTATAAAATTTATTCTGAATGGGCTTTCAACAGCTGAAGCGCAGGGCTAGCTGCTTGGAGAAAAACCCTTAAAAAGAATAAAAAAAGGTGAAGCCAACAGAAGCTAAGTGACACTAGGGTTTTAGAGAAAATGGTTTTAGGGCTTAGACAATTCAGCCAGAGAACCGGCGACGGTGCTGGACAGCCAATTCTCGACACCGACAATGGCGAGGAACTCATGCACGTCCAGCCTTCTGTCTCCATCGTCCTTGGAAATCGTCCTCCGGACTCCCCTGGCACTCTCTACATCACCTCCAAGTACTCTCTCTTGCTTTTCCTTTTAACCTAAATTGTTACAACTTTTAAGTTCGTTCAGTTGTTTTAGTTCAAAGCAATTAATTTAGAATTTTCTATATTGTTGCGAGATTTTACTTTTGATTGGTTGATTGTGGGGGGGTTTCTGTAGGCAAGTGATATGGTTGAGTGACGTGGATAAAACAAAAGGTTATGCTGTTGATTTCTTGTCTCTGTCCCTTCACGCCGTATCCAGGGATCCAGAGGCCTATACATCTCCTTGTATTTACACTCAGGTTGGGAGTGCTCAACTGACTTTATCAAAATTCTTACATCAAATTGTTTCGTTGTATATCTCTGATACCTGCTGTTATTTATATATAGATTGAGACTGAAGCTCTTAATGAAGATGAGGATGATGAGGATTCAGAATCGGGTGAAGTTTTAGACTTATCGAAAGTCACGGAGATGAGACTTGTTCCTTCTGATGCTAGCTTATGTAATTGTTCAATCTTTTCAATGAAAGATTGATTGTCTTTATGCTCTTCTTGCTGCTGTTTTTAAATACTCTGGTTGTGTAGCCGTTGATTTGATGGTAAATTCTAACATTTCTTTGACTAAATGTGTGTAGTGGATACCCTGTTTGAGATATTCTGTGAGTGTGCTGAGCTCAATCCTGAACCTATTGAAGGTGAGTTTTATTCTCCTATATATATTTGAATGGACTGATGTAAATTTATTTACTTGATTCTGTATTGCTATGTTTGCATTTTAGTTGCATATTGATTTCCTATATTTTCTTATGCCTTCATTAGATGAATCAGAAGGGCACAATTGGATTTTTAGTGCTGATCAGCTGGAAAATGAGGCTTCAGGTATGGGATGGAACTGCATTGATGTTCTCTGAAAAATTTTGTCCCTTATGTGTATTGATGTGGACTTATTATCCTTGAAAAATTGTTATGTCCAGTAGGGGAAGATGCTGGATGGCATTTTTTTCAGGATCCGACAAACTCAATTGGTCATTCAAATGGAGATCACGACCTTGCTAACACAGTGCTTCAGGTATGCCTTTGCATGTTCATATTACTAGCTTGTTTATGCCTGGAGTTTTTAAATCTAATGTCTTAGGTTGTTTGCTTTGAATCTTGATTTATATGGTTTTTAGCCCTCTATCTATAATGTGAGTGTCAACAAAAAATGTTGAAAATCTAGTAAGATAAAAGTCACTAACATGAACATTGAGTTCTATTCACAATAGTTTGCCTACTTATGATTTGATGTCTTCTATAAAAATAAAAAATTAAAGATTGAAAATAGAAAATAGAAAGGCTGATTACAAGAAAACTGATCAAAAGTTTCTTTTTTTTGGAGAATGTGTTCTATTTTGTACTGTAACAACAGATCAGGAATTTTAGAGCTCTCTTATAGTTGGATCTCTGTAATAAATTAATGAGTAGTTCAACATAGGTGAACAATGAAGAAGAAAATTTCGTTTTTATTTGGGAAATCAGTTATGTGCTATTGTTTCTGAGGATGTGGGGGTCCATTTAAGGTAAAGATTGAACTTTTAGAAGTGGGAGTTCTGTTCTAGTTGATGGCTGTGAGCTTACCTCATTAGGTTTTGAAAAAGAAGAAAAAAAGGTTACTAAAGATTGGAGCAATGATTTGCTTGTTAGTGAGAGTTTGGCAGGATAATTTATTAAGGTAGAACAAGTTTTACATAATTCATTTCAGGATCACTGAATTTTTTTAGGAGTTGGAAGCCCTAAATCCATAGAATTGTAGTCAAACAAAAGAGTACTAATTATCTTCATTAAAAGATAAAGCTTAATGATGAGATGTAATTTTAAGTAAAATAAAAACTGATTATTGTTTTTCTGTAAATGCTATGTAGGGTCTTTTATTGAACATTTTCATTGGATAATTTTTTTGACTTCGAAGATTCTCATATTCGGTGATTAGGGGGCAGAGGGAATTCTTTTTAAGGATGGGGTCATACCATATAATAGACTAGTTTTTTGCTTTGAATATATGGGCTTCAAATGGTATTCCATGTCTTGGACTTAGGTATTTGGATGAGAAGGTTGGTGTCGCCATATATCATTGTGGGTCTAGTTTGATGGGGGGTTTTGTTGAGTCCCAAGAATCTCACAGTGGATAATTTATTTGGGTGATGAGATCACTCGCTTGGGCCTCTTTCATAATCTACCTCTGGGCATGTTGTTTGTATTTAAATATTTTTATGTGCAATATATGAACATTGAATCATATTTTGATGAATGTTGATGAGATTTATTGTTTATAAGGCTTCGCAATTTTTTGTTTTGGTTGGAAATTTGTTAGACCTTAATTGGGTTTAGTGCTCAGTTGAAGTTTGTATTGGCTTCTTTTACACCTTGAACAACATTTCCCTTCTGTTTTCACTTTCATATACCTTGCAGCTTCAAATCAATGATCAACGCTTTGAGGATGCAGAGGAGATGGAACATGAAAGTGATGGCAGCCATTAGTGAGCCTTAAGACGTTTCTGTCAATTCATAATATGGCAGAGGTGAGTCAGTTGTTCTCTTTTTAGTTCATGTTAATTGTTCTCCCCTACATGGAGATTATCGCTGTACATGTCTATAGACAATATCTTAAATTACTAATGAGTAGCGTGAGATGGCAGCAGAGTCCACTTTTCATGTGACTTGCCTTTTAACCTTTTATTTATTTGTTTTATCAGACAATTAATGTAGAAGTATTAAAGATATGGATGAATGCGTGATTAATAAGATTTTGTTTTCACCTTGTATTCTAATTTGGACTTTCAATTTACTGCTTAAGAAGAGAGAAAATGGTCGGATGGCGAGTCGCAAATTAGTCATTGAACAGTACCAGTCTCATGCTAGCAGATTGAATTCTTCCGCTCCGGATGTGTATGCTCCTTTTGATGATTATTAATCGAAGGGGAGGATCATTCCACTTGGAACTGGAATGAAGCCTTAGGCTTCTAATTCTGGTGGTGGGCTTGTGTCTCACTCTAGTAAAAGCAGGAGTGTTTCCGTATGTTTTCATATTGCCTCTCAACATTTATTTTTACCATTAATTTATTATTTTATAGGCTGAAATTTATTTATCGACTATCTCTTAGAGAGTCGATGATCCTTGATATACAAACACATTTGAATTGCAATAGTTATGTTCTTTGACGAGTCAAAACTCTTTAACTAATTAACATTATGATTCTTGCCCATATTAAATACTATGTACGACACATGCATTTCTATTTATACAATAAAAGGCAGCATTTAAGATCTATTAAGCATAATGCAACATACGTTATTTTGACAAGGACAACATTCTACAAAGTAAGGTTATTGATGATATATCTGTTGAAAATTTGTGGGTACCCATCTTCGGCAAATAAATTATCCAAGGACTTCCATCATTCCATGTAACTTCATAATGCTAAAGAAAATATTACTTTATTTTCTTTTATTTCTTAAAATAATATATGTCCAATATTGGTTTTCCTTCATTATTTTGCTAAAACCGACCCGACAAGGGATTGGGTCCCGGGTTGGGTGGTTCAATCGGTGGGTCAGACCGGTGCTAACATCAACATGATCAAACCCTTAAAAATTGATAAATCTCGAAATAAAACAAACAATGAAATTGGCGGTTGTTTCATCTTCTTCGTCTTCCCCATAACCCAACTCTTTCACAATATAACAAACAATAACCTGCTACATTCAAATCGCAAAATCTAGAAGCCGCCTCTAAAAAACCCAACAACCTTCTCCATTCAAATCCCTAAATCAACCCAAATCACAAAAACCAAGCCGCCTACTCCATTCACATCGAAAAAACCA